GACTTCTTGAGAAGAATTCTAAGAAGAAAGTAAACCTACAGACATCGGTCTTGTTTAACAAAATCAACCGTGAGAACAAATGTTATTCATAACCCCATACTTTCTGCACAGTTTCAAGTAAATACAGTGTTTAGTCAACTGTGGGAACAAACGTTCTTCATTACCCCATAGTTTCTGCACAGTTTCAAGTAAATACAGTGTTTAGTCAACTGTGAGAACAAACGTTCTTCATTACCCCATACTTTCTGCACAGTTTCAAGTGAGATAATTCCTCCTCCAACTTACCCTATCTTTAATATAAAATAGAAAAAAGTGAGGCTAGAAAATTGGAACATTGTGTATGCATCAGAATACTTCAAAAGGTTTAAGTACTTTTTCTACAGTTTCCAGCCACTATTCCACACACCATCTTTATAATATATTGTAAAAAAAATACATAAAGTTAAATGGCCCTAGTAACTAAAGTTGTTAACCAACGCATACAATGTTTATTACAACCCAAGTAACCTACAGAGTTATAACAATGAAACTTAGACTACAATACTAAGTAACGTGCAAAACTGTAGTGCGATAAACCTGAAAGATATAATCATTTTTCATTAAAGTATACAGTGCATTGCTGTTAAGTCTAACTATAAAATAGAATGGCTAAAATTAACAAAACTGTAAAACAGGCTTTTACAAAAATTCGAATTCTAAAGAGCCTGTATACTAATATCTTCAAATCTTTAATATAAGTTCTGAAGAATAACAGCACATCTTACCAGGAGGTAATCGTTTAACAACCCAACTTCCGCATGCTGTCGCCATTTCGGGGTTGGAAATTTCAGAGAAAACCTGTTTAAGAAACTCTAACACATTGTTTTGTAAACACTCCTGATCCCAGGAAGCATATCTTTGGGTTGTACTTGAAAGCAAGTGAATGACCACATTTTGTACTGCGACAACACGAAGTTGATCTGGAGATAACTGTAGTAGACAGAAAGCTAAATATATGAACAGAACCTAATAAAGATTCTTTTGAACATACACATGGGTTTCTCAGAATATGAACCAGAAACGTTTAATTTAAAGCTTGATGTTCTTCTTACATTAAGACAAATTTGCCTTAAAAACATTCCATGAAATTTTTTCTAACAATTTTCTATATGCATAATACTTAATCTATAAAATATAGCTGGTGTATCAAATATCTTAAAGCACATTTTTAAATCAGTAAGTGAACATTAGCTGCAGAAGGAGATAAGAAAAACTAAATGATACTACGATGCAACATTAGTATAATTCTTACCTTTCTAATTATGTCACCAATACACAACACATTAACTTACTTCCACAAAGACCTACTGTCACCACAGCACTTACACATCATATAGTGTTACTTACATTCAGGAGAGTAGCTACAGATAACCAAATGTACACAGTTTTTTCAGAAAGCTCCGCACCTACAAACAAAACAAAATAATGCTACTATCACCAAGGGCTCAAAAGAAATCATGCAAGACATTCTGTTTAAAACAAGCTATGTATTTAAAATCACTTGGTACTAATAACACATTAAATGCTGCGATGCTTGGCATAATGTACGGCAAGTGTTGATAAGTGTTTTTGTGCAATATCGTTATGTTTTCAACTTAAACAATAGCAATTATAACATATCTAAAACATGTAATCTTTAAATTTACAACACATGTGCATCATGAGCAAACGTTAAACATGCACATGGGCATCCTCAGCAGCGAATGTGTTATACCTTGATATAAACAGACTCTGACAACTAATTATGTGCTGTTAATCCTACTATAATACAGCTAATAAATAGTTTCATATAAAATACTATAATACAGCTAATCAATAATTTCATATAAAATACTATAATACAGCTAATAAACACTTTAATATAAAATACTATAATACAGCT